TCGAGTGACGTTACGTATGATTATTTCATGTAAGTAAGTTTGCCCGTATCTATGCATAATTGTCTAATTAAACATTCACATCTGACACTACTGATAAAGTGTTTACATTTGTCGCTCAACTTGTTGCAAAATTGGAGAATTCCACGGCAACACTTTCCTCTCGAATGTTAATCGTCCTGTTAATGAATCTGGATACTGGTATTACCACTATCGCTGCTAAGCGCGTTTGGGATTAGCCACGATTGCATACGATTAACCCGGTTTCCGATCGAGCCGCCAAACGAGTCTGGCGTACGAAGGAGGACGTTACAAGGCATGCAGGGTTCTCTGTTCCAATGCACCTGCGTCGCTTTTGCTTCTAACACGATCGCAAAAACGTCGACTGGAACTTCGTGCCATTTGTTGCCGTTCGGTCGCGCTTAAGTTATCGACCATAATAGACAAATACACGCGAAACGACTCGGGTAGGCCGATAAGGCGACATAACACGGATCTAATCCGCTCTAATTTCATAACATCATCGACCAATAGTATTTTCAATCGCTGGCGAGACGGTGCAACGAAACTCGAGTTTCACCGATTTTATGCCGCCGCAACTGGTGGAACGAAACAATTTATCGCATCCCCATTGCAATTATTCCGATAAACGCAGCGCCAGGTTTTGCCGTTTTGCTTTCTTACTCCCTCCCCGTGTCCGAGAAATGACGCGTTACGTAACATCTCGAACGTGCATTTTTGCGACCACACCTAGGAAAATATCCGTCGACCGTGCGGATAACAGATCTGCTGATCGATAAAAACATATCGTACGCGATCTCTTGTTCACGCGCTCATTCCCCAGTGGACACTGCCAGTTTTTTTTCTTTCGCGTTATCGAGCGCTTCGCTGTTAACCATTTATCGAAATATACGTTGAAATAAAAGAGCTCTATGTGATTACGAGGAACACTACGAGGTTAGTACCTCGAATTTGGAGATACTATCACGTGGTATCTCCAAATTCTTAGTAATTTCGAAATGTTCCTCGTAATGACGCAGGATTTTTATTTTAACGTCTACCTCCAACTTTAGCGATACATGGTTAACAGTAGTGTAAAGCTGATTGTAATTAAGCGAAAGATAGGTACTTAACACGTTGACTGCCAACTACGAGATATCTCGTAGGTTGTTTACTTGCCCAGGACGCCAACTACGAGTTATCTCGTCGCTTCATTACTTGATTAAATCAAATTGGCTTCTTAGACCAGTATCGTGAAAAGTTCCATGGCAGTCAATGTGTTAAGATGAGAAAACAACGAACTAGACTCATACGCGACACATTTTCTTCTTTGCGAATGCCCTTTTCAGTCGGTATCGTCTAGGAATATCGTCCACGGATACAGGAGAGTGAAAAATGTCGACCGACGACAAGAGAGACCGGTGTAAACGATATTCCGTGTCGTTGCCAGGTGTCGACTACCTCGTCTTTTGAGGTCGCGGTTGTGCCGTGTACGTATAGCTGCAGGTGCGATACCGTAAAACAAGATTTATTTTCGACGCTGCGGAACAGCTGCTGAATTCTAAACACCGGTAATATTAAGGAACAATACCGTTGATGTAACTGAATTTTTCACTGCCCGAGGATCAGACGAAAACTCAATTGTAGAAACAGGAAGATTTCTGCGAAAGGTTTCTACTTAGTCAATTTTTCTCGATTGTCTCAACCGAGTTTTAATCTTGAAAGTAACACCCGCGATCTTGACGCTAAAGTAACATCATAGGTCTCTCAGGCCTAAATCGTGAGAAAACCGAAAAATATTTCGCGGTCTACTAAACCGGAATATGGCGCGAGCTAGACGTTACGTTTATTATCGATCTTCATTTATTATCTTCGTAGACTCGTTGCCACCACAAGGGGACTTGTTATCTCATTGAATTAGGTCGACAATAGCATTGGTTACATGGTCTCAACTTTTTTTCTGAGTAATAGAGAAGTAGGAGTGGCGTGTAGCATCTTGCGCAAAACGTGGAAGAGGAGTGAGCGGAAGAAAATGCATGTAGGCCTCATAGATCTAACATGTTACTGTCGAGGTTAATGCAGCTGAACGTTCACGCGACTGTTCTCAGTCGCGGTAACAGAGATATCATTTCTCGTCACTGGCTTTTCATCTGGTCCCTGTTCAGTTGCAGGAACTACGTTACTTTCCCGTGCGCGTGTATAATCATTTTTCCAAACGCGAGCAAACTTTTTTCACCAATATACACGCTATTTGAGTTGCAACGACTGCCGATTGACTCGTAAATCAATACCTGCGTTCAGCAGAGAAAATAGCTCGGTGAGCGCTTAATGGCCATTTCTTTACACTGACATTCTCTTACATTTATCGAGAGTCTAAAAAAAAATACTCCAGTTACGATGATCTTTTTAAGCGCTGAACTTTTTTTTCCGAACGCGGCCGATGTTTCTCCGTCGTTGTCGCCCTTCCGAATCGACGCGACTTTCCGAGGAAGGGAACATCGCGGCGCTGCAAGGATCCATAAAGCTGGGGAGGAGGAATTCACAGGCCAATTATCGCGCCGCAGGTGCAGCAACGCTCGCAGGCGACGCGACGAAAAGTGAAAACGACTCGGCGATTCGTGTTTCGCGTAACGAGGATTAGCGATAACGCCGCGGGTCGCCGCGTAACTCCCGGCGATCGCTCGGGGAGGAAAGGAAGGACGTCCGCCACTTGCATAAATCTGAATCGCAATTAAAGGCGTGCGCGAGAACCGCTTTTGCCGGCTACGCGGACATTCCCCGTCGATTTTTACGGCTACTCGCGCAAAGGAGGAGAGAAAAAGCGTTTACCGTCACGTAACTCCTCCGTCGAGGTCGTGAATCGCGAGGTCGCGCGCGACGTTCCCCACGCCGGGCGCGCGCGCGCGCGATTTCGAAAGAATTTCCCCCGCGAGTCGGGCCGCGCGAAATTTGCACAATTAATGGAAACGTTGGCGAAGATACATCGCTTAAATGTCGGCATAAATATGAGATCACTGTCAGGACTCGTTATTAATTTATCGCGAGGCGTATTCCGTGGTGCCGCACCTCGCTATCCATCGCCCGGCGCCGTGGGGAACATGATCGAGCACCGACGAACAGGCCAACACGCCCGTGGTGGCACACGGTAATCTTTTTTTCTGACATTTCTGCCTCGTGGGTTGGTTTATTCGAAAGGTTAAACCGTCGCGCTCTCGAATATCCAGCGCGATCGCGGGCGAGAGAGAAAGGGGGAGGGGGATGGAGCGAAAGAGAGAGAGAGAGAGAGAGAGAGGAAAGTAGAAGAAGGAGAAACGTCCGCAACGGTTCTGGCACTCTTCTCCTCCGCTAGATAATCTCTCTCTCCTTCCTGTCGAAGGTCGGCGCAAGTCAAATGTTCGAACCGTCGAACCGTGTCCTGCGTTCGGAACATCTTCGCCAGCGTGCGTATCGGGTAGTTGGACGGCCGCTCGTGCGTTGCAGGAGGCAGGTAGTCACCCAATCAGAGCGAGAAGGAAACAAAAGAAAGGTGAAAAGAGTTATCGCCCCGTGAGATCGAGCCTACATCCTGTATCCCAACTGGAAAAGCCGGCAGTACTTCGGCTCGACGTGCAATTACTATCGGTCGATTGTTCGCTCGCTCTCTTGCGCTACCGGCGCCAATGTTTTTCTATTCGCGCGCGCGCGCCAGCCGTATTGGATTTTCCACTTCTCTCTCCCTCTGCCCTCTCTTTCTCTCTTACTTTTTTGACAGTTCTCGCGTGCTCCGTGGCCCGAAAAATCATGGATCGATGAATAAAGAGGCGACGGGTCACAGAGCGCGCTTCGCCGCGCTGATCGTCGCGAGACGTCTTGTTCTGCTTTTCGCACAATACACGGCGCGAAATCGTCCTTGCCCGACTTCTCGCCTTTCGAGAATGCGTTCGACGTCGCGCGCTCGTCGGAATTTAATAACTCGTTCTCTCTCTCTCGCATACGTTGATCCCGGTTCAACGAGCGTGACTCGTCCACGTTCTCGCGCGTTTATGCTTCGCGACCTTACCTCTCTCTGTGAGAACGGCGCGGTGCTTTTTCGCGCGGAAACATCGTCGAGCCCGCGCCCGTCAACGGGCGGATGCGCGATTCGACGGTAAATTTGCCACGCTCTCGGCGCACGTCGTCGTCGTTCGGGAGGAAGGATCGTCTCTTTCGTTTTCTTCTCTTTTTCTCCTTCTGCGCCGTTTAACAGCCGCGTTGCACGTAATTCAGGAAAAGTCACACGCTCGTAAATCAGGTCTGGTAATGGGTACCGTTAGATTCGCAATGATAATCCCATGGTAATGTATGCGACTCGCTCGAGCGAGCAAACGAGAAGATAATTAACGATCACGGGTAATCCGAGTTCACCAAACTATCGGGCGGCGGTGCCGCGATTCTCCTGGGATTTACGAGTTTGCGACACCGACGAAGTGTTAACAAAAACGGACAACCGAACGTCTCTCTCGCGCGGTGCCTCGTTAACGTATATTCCCTCTCTTTCTCTCCCCCTCTCTCTTTCTCCCGTTTCCCCGCTTTGATTTCCACGTTAGCAATGGACCATTTTATAGCTTTACTTTATGGGGACGTGGATGTGGCTATTGAGTCTTCCAATGACGTAATTTACGTCGCGATGGCGCTTACGGTTGTAAACGTTCCACCTCGGGATTTATACGACTGCCGGTTTTGGATAACGCGGAACGCGTTCTAATAGCGTTCCGGATGCCGTTTGTACACAGCTCGAAGCAAATGCGACGAGATAAAACACTATTTTTCATGTTGTATCGTCGCGTCGATCGATGTGACGAAACACCGTATGAACGCGGAAAGATAACGATGAGACAATTAGTCTGTTCTTGAATTAGGTTACACTTTTTACCTTCTTTTAGAGTAAGACAAGTATACAACTTAGTTGAAGCGAAAAGGAAGAAGATTCCAGTGCAGCCCTAATTCAGGAGCGGAAAACAGACGTCATATATGATTAAACTTACCCCTGATGAGCGTGCAGTGGAGCGGGTCTCGGTGGAGGCGGAAGCGATTTTCTCCCGGGCGTGTTCTGTCGCGGCGCTAAGGGCGGCGGCGGGGAACTGGGGGATCCCGAGCTGTATCTCTCCGTTGGACACTGAGGCTGAGGTTTCTGCTTCGGCACGTCCACGTACTTCGGCGGCAGGGCGTAGTAATTCCTCTGCGTCACGTCGCTGGGACGTTGATGGTGGTTAGGAACGTATTTCGGCGGCTCGTGGTACTTCTGCGGACTCGAGTCCGCGGGGAACAGCTTCGAGCTGGCCTCGTAGCCCGTTTTCACCGGGCTGCCTATGGAGAAACTGTGATTCTCTCTCTTCAAGTACTTGGACGGGCTCTTCGTGGCCTCCGTCACCGGCAGATAATTCGGCCTCGACGCTGGACTCGCGCCACCGTTCTTGTCAGCGTTCTTAGGCACTTGAGGTTGGGGTCTCTGGCCCGAGGAGGACTCCAGTCTCTGGCTGGAATCGTTCCTCAGCAAACCGGACGCGTCGACGCGCGTACTGTCGACTCGCATCGATTCCTGCCGGATGATCCTCGGCTCCACCGGCACTTGCGGCGCGGGTCTCTGGTTGCCGGAATCGCTGTATCTCTGCGATATAAGGTCGGGCAATTGCGCCGGGGGTCTCGATGGGAAGGATCTCTCCTCGGATATTCTCCTGGTAGGCGCTATTCTGCCGTTCACCATCAGCTTCTGAGTGGAGGGGTACCTGAGACTGGAGCGTCCCGTGGCGACCATCCTGTGTGTGGCGAACCCGGCCGACACGCCGTTCTCCAGCACCATCTCGGACTCCACGTGCTTCAGCGCGGTGGAGGATCGCACGAATTGCTGTTGCTCTTGCTCCTGCGCGCACGTTTTCGCCGAATTCGGCGAGGATTTGCCCGTCGGCTTGTCGTGATCTCTCTTACCGCTGTGCTTCGATCTCTTCATGGAGTGTCTTTCCGATTTGTGTCGTTCGCACGACCTTTCACGACTGATCTTAGTCGTTTCCTCCGTCTGATGGTGAACGTTGTTGGTGCCGTTGCTGTTATTGCTGTTGGACTTACGCGGACTCTCCGCGAAGCAATCGTCGCTGAGCTCGGGCGGTGGGGGCGGCAGTGGATCGTCGCAATCGTGGACCTCGTTCTCCGTGACCGTCGGCGGCGACGGCGGCGGCAGGTCAGGGCTAGGCATGCGTTCGTTGTAAGCGTTTTTTAAATGTGGCTTTTTCGGCGGTCTCTCGGGCACCCAGTCGTCGATTGAGATCGCCGGCCCGACTATCACGGGACCCAACAGATCCGTGGAGAGACTACCGCAACTGTTGCTGTGTTGGTGCTTGGGACTCGGCAGATCGCCGTTTCCTTGATTCTGAGACCTGGCGGCGTTCTCCCGCCACGTGCCGCTGGCGTAATCGGACGCAGAACTGGCTCTTCTGGACGAGGGTGGTCTTGGTCGAGGTGGTGGCTGCGGTGGTGGACTCTGAGGTGTCGGCGCGGGTCCTTGGGCCAATTGAGGTTCCGATCGCCACGACGCCTGATGGTGTCTCTCATAGAAGGACAACAACGCCTTCTTTTGAATCGCTTTCAGAGTGGGATCGGACACTCTGTGACGCTTCTCCGGATCTAGATAGGTGTAACGCATTTGTTGCTGTTGCTGTTGTTTCTCCAACTCGCTGATGCGTTCGGCTACCGACAGCTGCGGTTGCTGCGGCGAGCTCAACGTCATTCTGGAAAGAGAGAACGTTGCGTTAGATCGCAAACTGGTCATACCCCGGAGAGAAGTATGAATTAGAGAACGCGATTGTGAGGAGACACAACTCACCTTGAAGATTGCGTGAATTCTTGCGACTGCGTCACACCGACGGGATAATGCTTCCGCTGACTGCGCTCGCGATCGAGGTAGAGCACACTTTCCGAATGATGCCTCTGAGGAGTCTGCACTCTCGCACTGTGCGCGATTAGCTGCTTGCTGCATTGAACCCCGCTGCTCTGACTCACGTCGGACATCGATCCATGAATGGGATTCCAATTCTCAGGGCTCTGCGGGCTGGAGGTTCCCACTTGCTGGCGCGTGGGGCTCTGCGGTTGAGCGTATTTGTCGTTCTCGATTCTGGCCGAGTTGTCCCATTGGCTCGCTTGCGGTCTGTCGTTCAGCGACGACTCGTCGTCGATATTGGATTCCTGCCACTTGCTCTCTCGCGTGGCCGACGTGTGGCAGATATCGCCGATCGATGCGGACGTGGCACAGTGGCCGATCACCGCCGGCAAACTGGGTCTGCTCTGCGTTTGCTTGTTCCGGTCGTTCATCGAAGCTACCTGCCACTTGTCCGGCCATTTCTCGCTGTGTCTGCTCTTGGTCGTCGCGCCGATTCCGGAAGTGCTGACGTCGCTCATGGAGCTCTGCCACTTCTCGTGGCAGCCGTTACTGGCTTTCTGAGTGATGATCCCGCCGTTCACGCTGCTGACATCCGACATGGAGCCGTGGTGCCATCGGTCAGACGCTCCTTGGCGAGGCGGCATACCGCTCGACACGCTAACATCCGACATCGAACCGTGCCATTTTAAGGTCTCGCTGCTGGACGCGCTGCCGCTGGACGTAGTCACCACGCTGTCCCTTCCTTCTCGGGAGGTGTCCTCCCAAGAGGCCACCGGCCTTTGCGCCACCGCTTCGCTGTCTCTTCTCAATCTGACAAGAAGGGTAATTTCTCGTTAGCGTCGTGAAGACCGTTAAAGTAACGTTCAATGTTAATGAGACGCGTAAAAACACGGGCGTAGCCAGGGTGGGACAGGGAGGATGCTTGCCTCCCTTCCAAATTTTTGCAAGATGAGACAATTAAATTATGAAAATTATGAAAGTAAAGAAACGTAACTGATATATTATAATCTATATTTGACAAAAAAATCGACAGCACATGTTCCGTAATCAAAAACCAATGACAAAGTATCAGCAATACTTGATGAAAATTAATATAATGAAAATTTCTCAATTTCACACCAAACGTCATCGCCTGTTAGGATTTATTTCAGTTATGTAGAAAAGAGTCCATCTCTGTTCCGGACGCGCGTGAAATAAATAATAATAAAATGCGTGCAAAAATAAATCCCCCCTCCCCTTGATTGAAATCCCGGCTAAGACCATATGTAGGGACAATCTCTCTCACCTGTCGAGAAACGGCGTGTTCGTCGTGGAGTCAACGCTGGATACATAACTGTGATATCCTTCGGATTGCGCGTAGCTGGCCTGTTGAGAATGCTGCACCCTTGTGTATTCCTCCAGGCCCGCTTGCGTCAACGTAGTCTCACGATAGAGGTCCACCTGGCGAACAACGAGACGCGATGTGAATTCGACAGCGTGATCGAAACGAAAAAACGTAACCGCTGAGTATTAGCAATCATCGAGCGCATCGGATCTCTCGTTCGTCGTTCCTTCGCCCGAGCCTCACCTGAGACACCTGAGGGTCCTGGTAGCTTCTTACGTAAGCCTCCAGATCAGCGTGACTCAAAGTCTGAGATTGCTGTTCTCGTTCGGGCGGCGACGGCACCACGTACTCGGCGTCCCCCAGAGCCTTGCCTTCGCGATCTACGCGCGGCCACAGTCTCGGCTCTTCCTCGACGCCACTACGGTTGCGTGACTCGTAAGTCTCGGCCGGGATCTTCTCGCAACGCTCCATTACCGTCTTCAGCTGCGATATTCAATTTTTGCAGTGTAATAGAAACGAAGAAAATCGCAAACGTATCGAGAAAGTAGCCCGCTCGCCGGGCTCGCGCATTTTTCTCGCGGGCTTCATTCTCACATCCCGCGAATGCGAGATCGAAAGTAGGACGGTAGCGCGAGGTAAAGGCCGATAAACGAGTAAAATATCTTATAGATTCTTGTGCAGATCGGGAAATATTCGTTATACACCGCTCGGCGATGCATGCATTCGCCCGTTATGCGGGTAACTCGGCTTAGCTTTTAACTTAGCCGAGCTATTCTATGACTCACGATCTTAATATAATTCTCTTTCTCTCGCGCGTCCCTCCTCCTTCCCGGTGAGAAAAAGCAGAAAGAACACGATCTTAAAATACGTCAGGGCGCAGGAGGGTAACTAATCGCATGCGCTTTGAAGCGGAAACTCCGATCGAATGAAACTCGAAAACGTTCGACGAAAAGAGAGAAACGCCATTTCCTCAGCTCATTCTTTTCTCGTCCCCCCGATACCCGGAGTTACCGTACGTACCGGAATTTAAGGCGCGATGCGGGTCGGACCGACGAAATACCACGACCTACTTCTGGGGAAGCCGGTAGCGCGACAGCGACGATTATGTCACCGAGAGAAAGGAGGGTGCGGGTGTGGAAGATTAATTGCGTGCGCCGTTTTAGGGTGCAGCACACAATACGTACACCAAGGTCTTGCCCCGCGGTGATCCCGATTCTCGACACGACACGTTTGCGCATATATGCTCCCTTAATTGTTAAACACGTGGACGGTGGCGACGGCGACGACGGCAATGTGAAATCGCGCGCGAGGGAATCGCACCGATAAGCGCCGTCACCTCGTGACTCGTTAACACCGCCGGGGTACTCCGACGTCATGTAAACGAGATTCGATTTCACAACCGGCGAGACAATCGAGAACGGCTGACACGGCGAATTCTATGTATAGTAACGACAGGAAGGCTGATTCGAGAGGAATCGGGCTGATGCAAATCACGACGGAGTGGCAGAAGGAGCTTGAAGCCTTTCGTAAGTGTAATTTGATCGTCCGGGATTACAAAACAAGCGCTTCTCGTTAACCGCCCGTATGACGCGTCTCTCACCGGCCGTCACCGCTATTTCTGCCGCGCTTGCTCATTTTTGCTATAAAATGTACTAACCTTCGATAGAATTCATAAAACATTGCTCCCAAGAGGGTTTCTTTATCGTGGATATAAACCGTGGATTGAAAAAAACTAAAAGTTAAAAATATAAATGAGAGAGTAGAAAAGCGTACACACGCTAGTGCTCGGTACAACGTGTAAAACTACGTTGGATTTACCAAAGAGACTTTTCTGCATCGTATGAATCGGAATTGAAGACAATTAAAAACGAAAAGTATAGGTAAAAGGGAAATAATGACGATACGTCTCTCTCGCGTGTCCAATTTGCAGCGGCGTTGCGTTGCTACCTTTCGCGTGTAAAAACAGCACGACATAAGGGACCCAGACGGGATTCTATCAGTTACCTGCTGCGTGAACGCTGGATTGGGCCTCTTCGTGTGTGGTCTGGTGTACTGGGCAGGCTTCTCCTTCGGATAGTTGGTGTGGTCGGTCCAGGACTTGGAGCGGTGCGAGCCGCTGTGTCCCGAGCTGTGAATATCCTCCTCGGGGTGTCGTTCGGGTGCGCTCGGCCACGACGGGTACTTCTCGTGTCCCGGTCCGTAACACACGCCCTTGAGACTGGAGGCATCCCTAACTGGCGGCGTCGGCGGTGGCGAGGCTTCGTCTCTCTCATTAAGGGGGAGCGTGAAGCTGTCGAATCCGAGGCTCTCGCTGTACCTAATGGCAGACAGGTATGAAAAACGCACACACGTTAAACGCACACAACGCAAGAGAAATAGCGCGCGACGCAACGTCCCACTACCTGGAAACAATTACGCGCGGATGCGAGATCATCCCGTTTATTAGCGTCCCGCCCGATGATGAATCACGCGTGGTGCAGTCGCGCGCGATGTCATCGAACCACTTTATTACACTAGGATGTGTGCGGACTGCATAATTTATGGCACAGTCGACGGGTTCAGCGGTAACTCGCGCGGTAATCGGCCGGGTATTCCCTCCGTCGCTTTGTTGCGCCGCGCTTTTATTTTCTCGACAATATACCGTTGGCGCGACGGAAAAACTGGAACCATCCCATCCTCCCGGCGCACAGCCGGTCGTAAATATACATCGACACGCCCGCGAGACGAACGAAACGGACGTCGCGTGATGGATAATCGCATTATTCGAGACTTCGATCCGAATCGCTTTATCGACACGGTCCCTCCTCGTTCGGCGTACTCCTCCGCATCGCGGAGGACAGAGAGAGGGAGAGAAAGAAAGAGAGAAGAAACGGGAAAGATGAAGAAAGAAGAGCTCGCGTGAGCGAATACGTACCCGCTGTCGTTCTTATAGCCCGGAGTATTCTTCTTGTGACCGTCGTTGTAACCGGCAACCGCGGCTGCAGCCTTCTTGCCGCCGTTACCACCCTCGTGATCGTTCTCCGACCTGCGCCCGTCGCTTCTGCGACGGTAGTATTCGTTAGGAGCCACCGGCCGAGGCGGACTCTGCTTAAGGCCATAGCCTTCCTGAGAATACGACGTGGCACTCTTGAAATTGGCAGTCTCGCTCCCGTGGCCGTGGCTCGCGTACTTGTAGGACCCCGGGGGACAGGAAGGTGGGCCTGGGGCCTCATCCTGGACGCGATATCCTGGCGGCGACGGTTGCAGCTCCGTCATCGTGTAACCGACGTCCCCGCCATCCGGGATACACCTAAGTGGGCAGAAAATTAAAAGCGGTGAGCTTCGACGTGCGCCGGGGGAGATCAAATCGCTGAGATTAGACGGCCGCGTATAAAATGGATTAAGCGATTACGCGCGGATATAACGGAATCGGGCGGGGCGATTTTCACATATGTATGAGATGCGCATGCAAGTTAAACGCGACGTGAACATTTGATCGATTAGCCGATCTATACGCTACAATTATATCACCGAATCATATTCTCCGAGACTCGGATTGATCCGGGTATAGTCCCCAGGTTCCGCCGAAACGCAAAGATCACTCCTGCATGAGAGAAACAATTCTGTTGGTATTGCTGAATTTTCCTTTTACTTGAAAGCCAAACGAAGACTTGGCTGTCGCAGCAGAAAGATTCCTGCAGCAGGTTTCTGCTTTGTCAATTGCTTTCAGCTATCTCAACCGAGTTTTAATGTAGCTGAATGTTCATACGAATGTTACAGTTTAATATATTTTATATATTCCAATCAAGAATATTCAATTAAAACGAACTTTGGTTTGTATGTGCTCATTCAAATTAACTGAGTTTAACTTTTTCCTTCGATGAAACTTATAGTATTCTTGAAAGAAGAATAAATTTTGCTCTTGAGTACACATGATAATGAGCTTATCTAAACTTTGTGATGAATATATTTTAGGATCGTTACCAAAAAAATATTCTTGGTTGAAGATAACCCATTGCGTAATTGAAGAAAAGTAAACTAAGTAATCGCTTTTCTCAGTAGTGGGATGATATTTTGTTCTCTGTGCACACCGTCGAACTAGCGACGGCTGATTCAAACGTGCGGAATCTCAATGCGATTTCTTCAGCATCGCGCAGTGCGCTCACCTTCGTGAATGCTCGTTAGCGATACGCCGAGCGAGTAAATAATCATGGTTAACATAGATGTATGTTACCGGCATTACGCTAATCTCGCTCTGTTCATGGAAAGAATTACATTATCTGGTAATAAGTGCGAGCTTGTAAGATCGGAGGCTAGGCGTGTCTCGGCTGCCAGATAAAATCCGAAGGGAACTTCTTACCGCCGGTTATTTAACCTTTGGGCGAGTTTCGAGACACGCAGCGCGCGCAGTTAACTCTCGGGCGACAGAGGAGTAATGAGTCGTGTTAATAGAGGCGCACTCAACGGCGTGATTGATGAAACTGATAGATAACGCTATTTCCGAGTCAGGGGTCTCCGGAGCGCGTGAATGATGACAGCTTTTAACGAGGAACACGGATGCTAAAAAGTCAAATAGGAGCCGTCAGTATCCCCGGCGCGAGAGATATCGAGTCGGGAACGCGCGCGGGTTCCGTTCCTTCGTTTTTCGCTCGCGCGCGGCTTTTTATCCATTCCGCGATTAATTTAAATCGTCGCGAATTAATCATAAATTACGGTGAGCACTTTGGTTCATTTGAATTTTAAAACGGCGCTCGGATATCTCCTCCCTAGCGGGGAGCGGTGATAAAAGTGACGAATTTAAATTGCGCGATTGTAAATTAACAAACACGGATGGTCGGCGCTGATAATTATCGAGAAACACCGAGTTCCCTCTCGACGTCCGTCCGGCGACGGAGAATTCCGCTACATCCGTCGATGCGAAATCGCGCGCGGACACTCCTCGCGATGTATCCTCCACTGCCAAGGCGAGGATCCGCGATGTCACGCGGCACGAAAGCCCGACTCCCGTTGTGCCGCTGTCTCACGATCGGGACGTTTCGTCGTTTTCCGTAGTACTTTGCGTCACGAGAGGTGCAAGGAGAAGAGATAAAAAGACGGCGGTCAAGAAGACGGCTGTTTCGCGAGAACGGTAAAATTTTGCAACCTCACGTGCGCGGCGAAACGTCCTGGAATCGACTGCCCCGCGGGCACCTGGCATTGCCGATTTTTACCCACGCGACCTACGTTTCCGACTTCGTCCCGTGATGGCATCTAATTGCAAGAAATCCGGCACGCAACCGCGCACCCGGAGCACGCATCTCCCGGACGGCGGGACGCCCGCGCACCGGCATGTGGGCGGCTTGTAAAATATTTAAGCGATTTTGCAACGCGAGCGAAAGTATACGCGCGAGTGTATACGTATATACTCTTTAAGTATATAGCGTGTGGCTGCTAATAAGCGCTCGCTTGTATCACCGGAAATATCGAAATTACGCTCGCTCCAAATACAATGGTTCGCGCGCGGCGAGAGAAACACGCGGGCGCTCGCGCGGATTTATTAACTACAGCCTACCGCGCTGGTAACCGTAATGAAGCTCAACGAACGGTTGAAATTCTTGCGATTGCAATTCCACTCGTGCAAGATACGCGGTCTCATGAAAAACACATGATACTTTGAAGATCGATTGAATAATAAATTTAAAAACAATATCGAAGAGGTATCGGAACAAAGTAGTACCGATATGGGTACGAACATCGGAACAAAACGTTAATACAAAAATACTCGGTAGGGGAAACCGGGGCTAGTCGGCTAAATAAGTTGGCTAATTGATTATTTCTGTTGGTTTCCAACGGGTTACAGAATTGAGCAATTGGGGATTTCACAGACTCGGACATATTTTGACATCTCTGCCTCTGCTCGATTCAATAATTCGTTAGAAAATAGCCAAAAATAGTCGATTAGCCAACTCATCCTTTCAACCTTGCTTCTCCCGTTGAAAAGAAAAAAAAATATCAATACCAGCATTATATCAGTAATATCGCAACATTCCTTACGAAGGACGGAGAGCATCAAAGAGAAATGCGCGAGATCGCTCGTGAACGCGCATGTCCTCCCGATAACGATGTGGCCCGCTTGGGAGAAATCGATTTTCTCACTGATCAATTAAGCATGAGGCCACCGATCGCCGCGGTGAATTAGAAATTCACGACGCTGGCGTGCGTTAAATTGAATTTGTCAGGGTGGGCGTGTCGGCGTCGCGTCACAGCTTTGCATAACGAGAAACGAGCGGGCGAACGGACGCGTGAGACGGAGCTGCTGTGTTCCGAAGTCCCCGAAGAGCGCGACCGACGTCACGATGGCGCAACGACGAATTCCGGTAAATTTCCCGGGGAGTACTCGGGGCGCGAGTGCTTTCCTCCCGCGCGGAATTCTAGGCTAGTGTGCCAATGCTCTTTCTCGCCGCATACCGGCTCTCATCTCGCAAGCGGAATCGCGATAGGTACTTCCGCGATAGGAAGCGGATTCAATTACCGCTTCCTCGGTGGCAAGAAGTACCGCTTCTAATAACCATGCACGCCCACGTCAGTGCCCTCCCCCCCCCTCTCTCTTTTTGTTTCCTTCCTTTCTCCCTTTTTCCCCCGGTCTTTCCTCCTCTTTTTTCATCCCGTACGAGTTATCGGCCGCTGCCGATGTAATAACGCGCGAGTCGCGCATTATTCTTTTCGTGCACGCAACACCAGCGCAGCGTATAATTTCCGACATCGGCTGCCAACGGGAATACGCCGCGCGAGTAATCATTACCGCAAATTGCAACAATGTGGCGAAGGAGCGACTCGCCGATTTCGGTGATTTCGGCAAATGCTCGCGGACGCAAAAGGACGAGGACGAAATTGACGGCGTAAATTGCGAGTATCATTGCGAGCCCGATGAGGACGAGAGGGATAGAGAGAGAGAGAGAGAGAGAGGGAGAATTCGCGTCTTCGCGAATTCGAGCCGCCCCGGTGCGCTCGCGCATCGTAGATGAGCGCCGACGTTCGTTCATGCGCGCTCATTCACTGACGTACTCACGCGTCATACACGCCTGTTTTCCGCGGTCGTGCGGCGCATTCGCACGCGCGCCGCGT